AGAGAGAGAAGGAGAGAGAGAGAATCCCATGAGGGGTAGAGAGCAAGAGAGAAGTGGGGCTCGTGTTCACCTGAGACGGGGCTGGAGCTCACCTGAGATTATGACCTGAGCCGAAGTCAGATGCTTAACCAACTGAGCCAACCAGGTGGCCCAACCGGGTTCCTTCTTAATTGTGCATTGTTATGGCAGGAAAGCAGAAGCTGATAGTTAAAAGGAAAGCAAAAAAATTTAAATACATCAAAGTGGATACTAAGGAGGAAGGAAGGAAAACTTAAGACTTCAAAACAGAGATAACTCCACTGCCAATCTATAAATTTATCAAAAAGATAAAAGTGTTTCAGACGCCTCTCTCAATAAAAAGTAGCAAAATATACTGGGAGATTTTTTTCTTCCTCAAAGGTATGGAAAACACATCCTCTTAAGTGAAAATTTCTACCAACAGAGTTTAAGTTCAGGGACACAGATGCCAGATCAATAGTATGGATCAACTGGCATCTGAAAACACAGAAGCCAAGATTTCCTTTTGCTCCTTTCATTTCCTCTGTCCTGGAAAAGGAGATCATATGATTGGCAGAACTGGATTAATCCAACATTGAAGATGCTGAAGGAATGATCCCAGAACCAATGGAAGACAATCTATAATGGCTAAATAAGAAATCCAGACCATCCATGTTTCTGAGGGAAAATTCTTTGGCTGGGACAAAACAGAGTATGAAAATTGAAGAGATTTCAATGTGGGTCCTTAAATTCTCTGTGGCAAGAAGAAATTAATTTGTGAGAATTCAATTTCTCTGTAGGAGCCCAATACTGCTCAGTGGAGGTGCATCCCATTTTTGACAGGCCTAAATTAATGTGCTATGCTGTCATATACTATAGAATGTGTAAGTCTTTCTGGTGAATCAGGATAGATCGCACAGCTAGAATTCAAGATGGAAGTCAAACAGGGGGTGAATTCTGCGCCTGTACAGTATGGCTTTTAAGCACCTTTAACTAATGTCCTATCTTGACCTAATGTCTCTACATTTCTTGGGACCATATTGACAAGAGCTGAATTGCTGACATTTTCCAGGAGAAAGACAGAAATAAAGACAGGAAGGGCTTAGACAAAGGTGGTGGTGGCTCTCTCTGATATTCTGATGATCTCATTCTCCAGGAAGGATAAACTCACCCTCAGTTGACAGACACAACAGAAAAAACTAACACTGAACTAAATATAGGAGGGGCACCTGGGTGGCCAGTTAAGCGTCTAGCTCTTGATCTCAGCTCCGGTCATGATCTCGTGGTTTGTGAAATCCAGCCTTACGTATGTTGGGCCTTGTGCTAACAAGCATGGAGCCTGCTTGGGATTCTCTCTCCCTCTCTCTTTGCTTCTCTTCCACTCAAGCATATGTGTACTCTATATACATACATACATTAAAAAAAAAAAAAAGAACATAGGGAAAGGAAAAGCTCCTGTCTACCCCCTTTCTCTTTCTACTATCTACTTTCTCCCTTAATTCTTCCCTAAAAAGGAATGTTTAAGCTAATCAGGCCAAATCTTAACTAGCACTAATTGGCTACTTTTACTACCAGGTGAAGTTATTTTATTTTTTTTTATTTTTTTTTTTAAATTTTTTTTTCAACGTTTTTATTTATTTTTGGGACAGAGAGAGACAGAGCATGAACGGGGGAGGGGCAGAGAGAGAGGGAGACACAGAATCGGAAACAGGCTCCAGGCTCTGAGCCATCAGCCCAGAGCCCGACGCGGGGCTCGAACTCACGGACCGCGAGATCGTGACCTGGCTGAAGTCGGACGCTCAACTGACTGCGCCACCCAGGCGCCCCAGGTGAAGTTATTTTAGACAAAAGGTCCTGCACATGAACGTGGCTTCCTCTCCTTTCTCTTCCACATGTGTCCCTATCAGTAAGAAATAAATACATAAAACCAATAATTTTGCATTCTCTTTCTGCTTCTCACATAGGCATTGACATTACTTTGCCAGGTAGGGGTTAAGACTTTGGATTTAAAGATAGAGGCCCCACTTGAGCCAAAGCTGTGTTCTGATCCTTTATAACACAGTTCTCTGCACCGAAGGTTATAAGCACAAGCCATGCTAACAATAAAATATTATCTTGTTTCAATTACCTTGTTGTCAATTATCTTTCACATATACATACAGTCTCTGGAATACTATGGGGGACGGGGAAGAGTGATAATGGTTTAGGCAGGATTTGGACATGGCCAGGTGCCTTGCTATAATACCTTCAAAGCCTTAGCTCAATCCCCAACACCTGCCTTCTAGGAGCTTGTAAACTAACTGAGGAGGAAAAAACCCACTAAGATCTAAAGCAGTACAAGAAGGATCAAAGGAATGATTTAGGAATTCAGAGAAAGAAAATTACACTTCTGATAAGTCGGCAAGGTCAGGAAGAAGGTAAGATTTAACCACAGAAAGGTGGGATTTCAAAAGATAGAGAAGGGAGCATTTCAGGCAGGACTGGAGATGGAGAGGTGGGCACTAGAGAAGCCTCAGGAAGAGGAAGAGAAAAAGAGACAAAATCTTAAGGCAAGGATATGGAAGTAAACTATCTGGGCAGGAGTAAAGCATTTACACAGGGGTATAAAAAAAAAAAATGGAACCAAAAAAAGTCTGTTGAGATCAGAATGCGAAATACCTTGAATGTCAGTAAGTTATCTACACTTTATCCAATAAATACCAAAGAGTCATCAAATGATGGGCTACATTAATTGAGGAGAAGCAAGAAGATGGGATCTGGGAAGCTCATTGATTAGACATATGTATTGTCAAGGGCCTAACTTTATATTGAATGGTAGATTTGTTGTATTATTCAAAATAATTTTTAGCAATAAAAAAAGTCATCAGATGGTTTTAAGCTGCATTTCTACATAACCAAATACTCCTACCTGATGATCCTTCAATGACTTAGAAAATTTAAAAAAAATTTTTTTAATTTAAATTATAGTTACAGTAGTCAATAATTATTTCAGAATTAAGGCACTACCTCCAAATTGCTCCACTGCTTTCTCCACAGCATTATTGATTTGCTGTTCATCTCTCACATCAACAGCACAAGGCAAGGCCTTTCCTCCAGCTGCTTCGACTATAAAGAATAAACAAACAAAAACAAAGCATTGAGGCATTCAAATACTAAACTTTCCGTTCTGATATGAATCAAAAGAAATAAGTATCCTATTTTCAGAAAATCAATATAAATAAATATGTCTTAGAACTACTAGTGATTCTACCCTACAGTCGGACAGACTGACTAACCCATATCCAGCCTCAGATTAGAAAAGCCAACTCTATTAAAAAACAAAAAAAAGGGGGCGCCTGTATGGCTCAGTCGGTTAAGCATCTGCCTCTTGATTTCGGCTCAGGTCATGAACTCACGGTTCCTGATTTAGAGCCCCTCTGAACTGACAGTGAGGAGCCTGCTTGGGTTTCTCTCTCTCCTTCTCTGTCTCCTCCCCCTGCTCTCTCTCTCTCTCTCTTAAAAAAAAAAAAAAAAGGGCAAGCAAAAAATATCCTATTAAAAAGAAAAAAAGGGAAGATAATTTAAAAAACCTTTATTATGAAAAATTTCACAGGGGCGCCTGGGTGGCGCAGTCGGTTAAGCGTCCGACTTCAGCCAGGTCACGATCTCGCGGTCCGTGAGTTCGAGCCCCACGTCGGGCTCTGGGCTGATGGCTCAGAGCCTGGAGCCTGTTTCCGATTCTGTGTCTCCCTCTCTCTCTGTCCCTCCCCCGCTCATGCTCTGTCTCTCTCTGTCCCAAAAATAAATAAACGTTGAAAAAAAAAAAAATTAAAAAAAAAAAAAAAGAAAAATTTCACAAAAAATATACAACACAAAGAAGAGTATAATAAACTACCATGAATCTATCACTTATTAATGATTATTAATGCTTTGTCAGGTGTTTGAGTTGTTTAATTTTTCTACCCCCGATCCTGTTTTGTTTTTGGCTGGTATGTATTTTAAAACAAATCTCAGGCATCATTTCACTCATATGTGTTCCCCTAACATAACCACAATGCTATAAACATGACTAACAAAACTAGCAATATTAACCAAAGTTGAATGTTAAGCCCTCCCTCCCGGTACTGTGTCTAGCACAATGCCTTGAATATAAGCACTTGATAACTGTGAACTGAAAGTATTAAGATAATGACTTTCAAATGGCACAGAGAATAAATAACATGGAGAGCTTTCTCGAAGTGCTCACATCATCCACCTCTCCATTTCCACTCCCCCATTTTCTGCGTAGATCCAAGAACAACTGCCCTCAAGAGACATGATTTTTAATGGGAGTCTCTCACATCGCTCAAAAGTGATGGGAAAAAAAGTTTCTGAATCACTGCCCTCAGCTGACAAGATACTTCTTTAACCAGATAAAATGATTTTTAGGGTACCTTTCCAATAGCTACAATTAAACTCTCCAGTAAATTCTCTATGTATTGAAACCATGGTTAGGACATTTCATGAAATGGCACTGTCACATTCACTCACTTTCTTCAGCAGCAGTATAGATTGTGCCTGGGAGTTTGGGGTGTGCTTGGGTGGTCTTCGCAGCAATGACAATGTTTGCTCCATCCTTTGCTGCTTTCAACGCAATAGCTTTGCCAATGCCACGGCTGGCACCTGTGATAAAAACTGTACATCCTGCTAGCTTCCTACAACAGAACAAATATTACCTTATAAGAAGCTCAATGTTTTAATTACTTATTAGTAACAGGAACTTCTGCATATTTCACATACGTATGTTTCCCCTTCTGAAACTTTCTCTGAACCTTCCTCCTTCCCTCCCTGATAGCTAATAAGTCTGTGATATTGCCACTGCTGTAATATTATAACGGCTGTTGGCCAGTCTTGATATGACTTGGCAATCAAAATCTGCTCAGATACAAGTAAATCTTAAGAAATAAGGAATTATTAACCTATATAGACATGTATTTTTTTCCCCACAGAAAAAGTGTTAACAAAGCTTATTTTTGAGTGGTGGTATTATGAACAAATTTTATCATATTTTTATATTTTTCAGGATTTTTCAAATTTTCTACAATGAATACAAACCCACTTAAAAGAAATTATCTGGGGGTGTCTGGGTTTAAGCATCCAAATCTTAATTTTGGCTCAGGTCATGATCTCAGGGTTTGTGACTTCAAGCCCCGCATCAGGGTCTGCACTGACAGCATTCTCTCTCTCTCCCTCTCTCTCTGCCCCTCTCCTACTCATGCTCTCTCAAAATAAATAAATAAACATTAAAAAAAGAAAAGAAATTACCTGAAAGCAAATAATTGTATAATGGATGCTCATCATTGCTCTAATAGCCAGAGTGGAAACAATGTAAATATCCAACTGATGAATGGATAAACTGCAGCATATCCATACAGTGGAATAAATTCAACAGTAAAAAGGAAGTAAGTACTGATCCGTGCTAAATGGGTGAACCTTGAGAATATTATGCAAGTGAAAGAAGCTAGTCACAAAGGACCACACATTGTATGATTCCATTTATATGAAATGTCCAGAACAGGCAAATCTATTGAGACATGAGGACAGTGGTTGCCTAGGGCTGGGGGCAGCAGTAGTTGGGAGTTGAGAGCTGAGGGGTGTGGGGTCTCTTCTGAAGATGATAAAAACGTTTTAAAAATTGTGGTGTTGGTTGCACAAGTCTGTTAATTTACTAAAAAACATTGAATAGTATACTTTAAAAGGATGAATTGTGTGGTAGGTGAATCACATCTCAATAAGGTTGTTAAACAAACAAACCTAAAAGACTGGCAAAGAGCTCAGAGTACTGATGGAAATTCTCTGACCCAACTGTACTGAGGAAAGTTCTCTGTGCCCATTCATCTTTACATTCATCTACCATAACTTTTTTTTGTTAAGTTTATTTATTTTGAGAGAGAGCGCGGGTGCATGTGAACATGAGTGGGGGAGGGGCAGAGAGAGAGAGAGGGAGTGAGAGAATCCCAAGCAGGCTCCCTGCTGTCAGTGCAGAGCTCGATCTCATGAACTGTGAAGATCATGATCTGAGCCAAAATCAAGAGTCAGACACTTAACTGATTGAGCCACCCAGGCACCCCCATCTGTCTTAACTTTAAACTTTCTATTTACTTAGGTGTTAGGCGGGAAGGAAACATCTAAAATAAAATCAGGTAGGGCATGTCTAGGTAGCTCAGTCTGTTGAGTGTCTCTCTCTTTTTTTTTTTAATCTTTTAATGTTTATTATTTTTGAGAGACAGAGAACAAGTGAGGGAGGGGCAGAGAGAGAGAGGGAGACACAGAATTTGTAGCAGGCTCCAGGCTCTGAGCTGTCAGCACAGAGCCCGACGAGGGCCTCCAACTCATGAACTGTGAGATCGCGACCCAAGCTGAAATCAGATGCCTAACCGACTGAGCCACCCAGGTGACATGAGTGTCTTAATAAAAATGTTAAAAAAAATTTTTTTTTAATAAAAATTTTTTTCAATATTTATTTATTTTTGAGACAGAGAGAGACAGAGCATGAACGGGGGAGGGTCAGAGACAGAGAGAGACACAGAATCCGAAACAGGCTCCAGGCTCTGAGCTGTCAACACAGAGCACGATGCGGGGCTTGAACTCACAGACCGCGAGATCATGACCTGAGCCGAAGTCGGACGCCCAACCGACCGAGCCACCCAGGCGCCCCTGATAAAAATTTTTTAAAAATGCTTACTCATTTTTGAGGAGAGGGAGAGCACACACTCAAGCAGAGGAAGGGGGAAGAGATAAAGGGAGACAGAGGATCCAAGCAGGCTCTGCACTGCCAGCCCAGAGCCCGATGCAGGGCTCGAACTCAGGAGAGTTCATAACCTGAGCCAAAGTCAGACACTTAACTGACTGAGCCATCCAGGCACCCCTCATGCCTTATTTATTCGAAGAACTGTTCCCAGATGGAAGGTCAGAAATGCAAGAAGACATTAAAACCAAAAAGACTAAAACAAACAAAACACACACAAAAAAAAAACCCCACAAAAACACTGGTAAATTAAGAACAGAAATCAATTAATGTATTTATAATAATTACTAATAACATAAATAATAAGTAATACTTGTATGGTTAAAGAATTAAAATGTACTGTTACAATAACGTAAGTTTAAAACACAGTGATTAGAGTTTAAGTTTTGTAGATCCTTACAGTGTTTGAGGGAGTGGTAAAATTTTATTTACTTTAGAGATTTTAAGTTATTTACACGTTAAAATTTCTACATTAAGTGGCACCTGGGTGGCTCAGCTGGTTAAGCATCTGACTTTGGCTCAGGTCATCTCACCATTCATGAATTCAAACCCCCACATTGGCTCTCTGCTGTCAGCACAGAGCCTGCTTTGGATCCTCTGTCCCCTTCTTCCTCTGCTCCTCCCCCGCTCACACTTTCTCTTTCTCAAAAATAATAAATTTAAAAAAACATTAGGGGTGCCTGGGTGGCTCAGTCGGTTAAGCGTCCAACTTCGGCTCAGGTCATAATCTCGCAGTTTGTGGGTTCAAGCCCCGGGTCAGGTTCTGTGCTGACAGTGCGGAGCCTGGAGCCTGCTTCAGATTCTGTGTCTCCCTCTCTGACCCTCCCCTACTCGTGCTCTCTTTCTCTCTCTCAAAAACAAATAAACATTAAATTTTTTTTAAAAAAACAGTAAAAAATTTATACATTAAATGTGATAAATAGAAATCCCAGACCTTGGGGCACCTGGGTGGCTCAGTCAGTTAAAGTATCCAACTCTTGATTTTAGCTCAGGTCATCATCTCACAGTTTTGTGGGATCTAGGCCCACATCGGGCTCTGCACTGATCCTGCGGAGCTTGCTTGGGATTCTCTCCCTTTCTCTCTCTTTGCCCCTCCCCTGCTCACACTCTGTCTCTCTCAAAAGAATTAAACTTTAAAAAATTATAAAAAAGAAAAAAGAAATTCCAGACCTTGACAGTTTTGGGAGACAAGGATGGGATGCTGACACACGTATGGCTTTCTACAAGAAAAAGGACAAGAACACCAGGAGCCAGCTTAGGGGATATGAAAAAAACCCTAGTAACACACTCTTGCCCAAGGCAAAGGGGGACAGTAAGGATCTTCATCTGTTCTCTTAAGGAAGCAGACCAACTAGAGGAAGGTATATACTATAAGTTACAACAGTATTTGAATTATTGTACTAATATCTCTCTCCTCCAATAATAAATCTACTAAGTTCAAGTTCTCTTTATATTTCTTTTGTTAGACCAAATCCCTCACAAGGTATACAAATTACTATGTTAAAAATTATTTCTTTTTCTCTGTATATTTGGGATAAATTTGATATATAGTTAACTTCCTTTGTTAATGTTTGCATTCCATTTTAGCTTATTTTCCCTCATCTTTAGTGAAGGATGTTGTAAAACACAGACATGGTTTAAAAGTTACAACCTTATAAATATGTACACTCAAATCTCTTACCTGTAGGTAACCAGCTTCAATTACTTCTGGCTTCTTATCCTCGTAGTTCTTTTTTCAAAATATGCAACTACACACATGTATGTATAAAAACACATTGTGTGTATGTGTGTGTAATTTTCCCTTTTTTATACAAAAGGTAGTATATACATAGACTTTTTTTTTTTAATTTTTTAAATGTTTATTTATTTTTGAGAGAGAGATAGAGCATGAGCGGGGTAGGGGGAGGGGGGCAGAAAGAAAGGGAGACACAGACTCTGAAGCAGGCTCCAGGCTCTGAGCTGTCAGCACAGAGCACAATGTGGGGCTTGAACTCACAAACCATGAGATCACCACCTGAGCTAAAGTCAGATGCTTAACCGACGGAGCCACCCAGCCTCCCACCATACTTTTTTTTTTTTTTTTTTTTTTTTTTGAGAGAGAGAGAGCTTGTGCATGCTAGTGGGGGAGGGGCAGGGAAAGGGAGGGAGAGGAAGAGAATACTAAGCAGGCTCTGCACTCTCAGCAGGGAGCCCAAAGCAGGGCTCAGGGCTGGAACTCACAAACCTAAGATCACCATCTGACCCGAAATCAAGAATCAGATGCTTAACCAACTGACCCACCCAAGTGCAGGGGCACAGACTATTAAAGTGATTTTTTTAGTCTAAGTATTAACATGAAAATGTCTTAACTGTTGCTTTAAAAGCTCCATCCCTTTGCCTTTGGTCTAGCTGGACTGATTCCCAGTAGGATAAAGGACATTTTTCTCCTCACACTGAATCTAAACTTGTGAATGGCTAAAACTTGCTAATGTAGAATTAATCTACACCACAGTTTACCAAACTTCTCTGGTATCTCAAAATCAGAGTCAATGTGATGAAATTTTTATTAACAATTTTTAAAAAGAAAAACAATAACTTAAAAAAAAACTATACAAGTTACTCTAAAGTTCGTTTAGAAAAATAAACATCCAAGAATAACCAGGAAAATTCTGAAAAAAGAAAAAAATTCAAATGAGACAGAAACCACCCTTCCCAAATATTTAAACATTTTATAAAACTAGAGTAATTAAAATAGTTGGGTAATAGTGCATGAATAGACACACTAATGTAATAAAACAGAAAATCCAGAAACAGATCCTTATACATACAAGAATTCAATATATGATAGATGTGGAGTTTCTAACAGAAAAAAAGATTAGTCAGTCAATGGTACTAATACAACTGTGCAGCCAGCCATCCAAACCAAAATGAAGTGGACTTTCTAACCCACTTCCTATGTCAAAATAGTAAGCAAAATAGTATTTCACCTCGGGTGGATGAAAAATCTGAGTAAAAATGAAAGTAATACAAGTAAAAATACTAGAAGAATACTTACCAATTCAAAAGAAAATCCTAGTTTAAGATGGCCTTATAGGTTGTCACAAAACCGCAAAGCCTTAAATGATTAACTCTGACCTAGTAAAAACATGTTTTTTCATGATAAACAAATAGTATAATCAAAATCAAGACACAGTGGAAAAAAATCCAAAAATATTTGTACCACATATGATAAATTTTTTTCAAATAGCACTCTCAGAGATCAATAAAACCTAATTGTGGGGGCACCTGGCTGGCTTAGTCAGAAGAGCCTGCAATTCTCAATCTCATGGTGGTGAGTTTGAGCCCCGTGTTGGGTGTAGAGATTACTAAAAAAAAAATAATAAAAACTACAAACAAACAAACAAACAAACCTAACTGTGTAAGCCAGAAAAAGAAAAGACACTCAGATGGCTTTAAATCAGAATTTCTCATCTGTACTGCTAACATTTTGGACAAGGTTAAGTCTTTGTTGTACAGGGCTATCCATCCTGTGCATTGCAGGATATTTACCAGCATTCCAGGACTCTAAAGATCCAACAGCATGCACCCCCACGCATACACAATTAGGACAACCAAAATGTTCCCAGATATTGCCAAATGTCCTATGAGAGTCAAATTGGTAAAAAGATCCTCATCCTCGCTCGTGATGCAAAATTTAACTGTAACGAAGTGCCATTTTTTTTTTCAATTAGGTTTTTATTATCAAACATTTTGTTGTTTGCCAACATGTTGGATTAGAAAATTTCATTCATCCTTTTTACTTCTTTGGAGTGCTAAGGGTATCAGCCATCAAAGTATATCAGCCATATACTTTTTCTTTTTTTTTTTTTTTTAATTTTTTTTTTCAACATTTACTTATTTTTGGGACAGAGAGAGACAGAGCATGAACGGGGGAGGGGCAGAGAGAGAGGGAGACACAGAATCGGAAACAGGCTCCAGGCTCTGAGCCATCAGCCCAGAGCCTGACGCGGGGCTCGAACTCACGGACCGCGAGATCGTGACCTGGCTGAAGTCGGATGCTCAACCGACTGTGCCACCCAGGCGCCCCAGCCATATACTTTTTCATTCAGGAACTTCACTTCCAGGAATTTATTATATAGGCACACTCAAATATGTGCAAACAGTGGATACAAGGATAATCATTGCAGCAAATATGCAGTAACAAAAACCTAGAAATGATCTGGTATTCAATGACAGGGGACTGGGTAAATAAATTATGGTACATCAATAGGATACCATGTAACTACCAAAAGAAAAAATCCACATATACATACCTAAAATGTGTGTCCCAATACATATTATGTAAAAATGGCAAGGCCCAGAAGGGAGTTTGCTACTATTTTTAAAAGTGGTGTGTGTGTGTGTGTGTGTGTGTGTGTGTGTGTGTGTGCGCGTGTGTTTAAGGTGGTGTGCAAATGTTTATAAATGCATAGACTATCTCTGGAAACAAACCAGAGTAACTGGGGGACTGAATGTTAAGGATGAGAAAATACACTTTTTACCTTAACCATTAGAGCTGCTTAAATCTTTTTGTCATGTGCCTGTATCTTTCAAGCAAATTACAAAACAGACATGTCACTCAGCTCAAGACACCTACACTTTACAAAAACAGACAACAGAATGGTGGTTGCCAGGGTCTGGAGAGAAAGAAGGAGTTGTTTAATGGGTATAGAGTTTGTTTTGCAAGTTGAAAAAGTTCTGGAGATTGGCTGCAGATAATGTGAATCTACCTAACACTACTGCACACTTAAAATTGTGGCTGCGTGGCTCAGACCATTAAGCCTCCGACTTCAGCTCGGGTCATGATCTCACAGTTTGAGAGTCCAACCCCCACCTTGGGGTTTGTGCAAACAGCTCAGAACCTGGAGCCTGTTTCATGTTCGGTGCCTCCCTCTCTCTCTGCCCCTCCCCCACTTGCGTTTTCTCGCTCTCTCTCTCAAAAATAACCATTTTTTAAAAACGGTTAAGATGATAGATACTGTTATGTGTATTTTACCACAATGTTTAAAAAACTTAAGTGAACCGTCCCCCCCAAAAAGATACCCATACTTTAAGATTAGTTTAATTTGTTACTCATTTGAAAATCACTTTTTAAACACCCCATTATTATTTCATTATTCCAGAATTGAGCGTTCAGGAAAAGTGAAGACTCACTGGCGGTGCAGCGTTCCAGTGACCCTTCACCTAGAACTTGAAAGACTTCACAAGCCACGGAGAAACCCACGGAAGGGCCCGCCCCGCGAGTGGTGGGGTAACCCACTCTGGATCCTTTACGTTTGAGAGAGATTTGCACGTGGCTGCCACCCCGAAGTACATAACTCCGGGTTACTTTCACGCTCATCATCGCAGATTCCATGAACACCGCGTCCAGCGCAGACCAGCACTCCAAGGAGCGCCCTCCCACCCCGGGGACCCCAGCCATCCACTCCAGCCTAGCCGCGCACCACGCCCCTTACCCGGTCTCCTCCCGCGGCGCCCCCATCCCCTTACCCGGTGTTGGGTAACATGACTTTCCTAGGGCAAAAGTGGTGGCGACAGCAATGGCAGCAGCGGCCGAGAGCTGCGTGCGAGAGGCGGGCCTTCCCTCCTCATTTACGCCAGTCCCCCGAGGCCCCACCCCGAGGCCTGCGGGGAACGGGCCCTTCAAGCACTCGCAGATCTCTGAGTGCGCCTGCGCACGCAGTGGGCCTCCTGGCTCTCGGAGCTAGTTTCCTCCTTCCCCGGCCTGGCCCCTGGAAACTAGCTCTCCGCGCAAGCGTCGGGAAAGGCAACTCCACCCCACCTCACTCGCGGGGCTCTGCGGTGACAATCGGTCTCCCGTCGGCGTCAGCCGCTACGCACGCTTTTTCCGGCTCTGTGAAGGCCTCCTAGGCGCAGCGCTTCGTTCCTGCGCCGGTGGGGTGGCCGTTTTGAGTCGTGCACTAGGGACCTTGAAGGCTAGGGTGCGGCTTCTCCTCTGCAGACACTGAGCTGCGAGTACTTGGCTCTCCCTCTATGACCCGAACCTGGGAGCCTGTCCAGCTGCATGCGCTCCGTCGAATTTCCCCTAGTAGGAACCAGTTTTCCTCGGCAGGTACTTTTCTGCCAGAAGCCGGCCAGCGTCGCATTTGGACTCTCCCATGGAATCTGGACTAAAGCCTGCCGACCTCACCCAGCTCTACATAGCCCTGTGATGAGCAGCAGCTTCTGGGTCAGAACTCTGCAGGAGTCTTGCGGAAGAATGCATAGTTAGCTCTGGTCCAAACTCAGTGCTGGAAGAAGGTGAATTCTGGGATCTTGTATTGCCTTTTTTTACATATAAAGTTTTAATTTAAATTCCAGTTAATATACAGTGTATGTAATATTAGCTTCAAGTGTACAGTATGGTGATTCAACACTTCCATACAACTCCCAGTGCTCATCACAGCAAGTGCACTGCAGTATTGCTTTTGGTAGTATCTTTGGACATTAGTTAGCTACCCTAATGAACTAAAGACCAACATATTTTTAGGGAGACATGAAGAAATTTTATTTTGAAATGATACAGCAGGGCGATGAGGTTGTTATCTGAGGACTAGTTAAACTAGCTTGGAGGTGGGGTATGTACTCTACCATTTACTGCAAACCCTAAACGGCTCTATTCATGTATGTCTCTTGCCTGCCTCCTATAGGTATTTGAATTGACGATCTATGATATTGTCCTTAGAGACAACAGAAGAATTTCTTTATTCAATAAATATCAGCATCTAGTGCATGCTGGTCACTGTCGAGATACAGCAGGACAAAAAAGACAAGGTCAGCCTACGTGGGAGGAATGAGGAGTGGCCAGTGTGTTGTTTAGAATGTTGTAAATATTAGGTGTTTCAAAAAGAGTTGATAGGGACTGTTAGATGAAAAGCTTACTCTCCACTCAAGGAAGTGAAAAGACAACCTGCGGAATGGGAGAAAATATTTGCAATTCATATATCCAATAAAGTCTGGTAACCAGAATATATAAAGAACTCTTACAACTCAGCAACAAAAACATGAAAAACACAACTAAAAAGTGAACAAAGAATCTGAATAGACATTTCTTCAAAAAAAATATGCAAGTGGTCAGCAAGCATATGAAAAGATGTCCAACAACAATCGTTACGAGGGAAATGCAAATCCAAACTACAATGAGACTCCATTTTACATACACTAGGCTAGCTATAATAGAAAATATGGAAAATAACAAATGTTAGCCAGGATGTGGAGAAAATGGAACTCTCTGGGCTCCTGGGTGGCTCAGTTGGTTAAGCGTCTGACTTAAGCTCAGGTCATGATCTCACGGTTTGGGAGTTTGAGCCCTGCATCAGCTGTGCACTGATAGGGTGTAGCCCGCTTGGAATTCTCTCTCTCTCCCCCACCCCCTCAAAATAAACAAATAAAAATAAATAAATAAATAAAGTGGAACTCTCATACATGGTTGGTGAGAATGTGAAAAGGCACAAACCACTTTGGGAAACTGTTTTGCAGCTCCTTAAGTTACCACCTACTGGATATCCATATGCAAAAGAGCAGTTACACTTTTTGGGTACCTGGGTGGCTCAGTGGGTTAAGCATCAGACTCTTGGTTTCGGCTCAGGTTATGATCTCACAGTTCCTGGTTTCAGCTCAGGTCGTGATCTTCCTGAGTTCAAGCCCCACATTGGGGTCTGTTCAAACAGTGCAGAGCCTGCTTGGGATTCTTTCTGTCTCCCTCTCTCTGCCCCTCCCTTGCTTGTGGTCTCTCACTCTCTCTAAAAAAAAAAAAAAAAAGAAAAAAAAAGAAAAAAGAGCAATTCCACTTTGAGATTTATACCCAAAGAGAAAGAACCACCAGATGGCACTGTTTTTTTAAAATTCAGAATTCTATAAAGCAAAATGTTAACTTATTAACAATATTATGGTATAATATAATCTGACTTGCATTAAGGCAAAAATAGCATGAAGAGCTACAGGGCTCCCATAAAGGGGAAATAGGATGTATAAATTTTAAATTCCTTAAAGAAAATGCTTTGTATAATTAAAAAACAGGATGTGATATTCTAGGGGCTCCTGGGTGGCTCAGTTGGTTAAGCATCCGACTTCAGCTCAGATCACAGTCTCACAGTTCATGAGTTTGAGCCCTGCGTTGGGCTCTGTGCTGACAGCTCAGAGCCTGGAGCCTGCTTCGGATTCTGTGTCTCCCTCTCTCTGCTGCTCCCCCACTCATGCTCTGTCTCTCTCTGTCTCAAAAATAAACATAAAAAAAATTTTTTTAATAAAAAATAAACAGGATGTGATATCCTAATTCATCTTATATTATTATTTAAGTTAATTACTAATTAATTACTTTTACCAACATTAAGAAGTAATTTTCAAACACATGGGAAGTTGAAAATGTATACTTAAATTGAAATACTAAAAGACATGACACTGAGAACAACTTTAATCTTAAGTTATTGAATAAGGACTCTTCTAACCCTATGTTGCATAAGAATATATATTTTTAAGTGTGTAATGCAGTAACATTCATGTTTGTTGGCCACATCCACATAAAGAAAGATATTTTCATCCAGATCCAGTAAACACAATTTTCTATTTTATTGAATCTATTATATTCTATCATATTAAGTAGATCATAACTTACTTATGTTGATGACTCCAATGGATCATAACCTACTGTTTGGAAAACACTGTTTCAGTGTGTTATAATTTACCATTGTGATTTTTCAACTTGCCTTTTAAGATATTTAGCCTTCTCCAGTCAAATATAAAATTACTAATTAATGGTCAGAGGCCAAGAACACAATGCAGATGCTTTCAATGGCTTTGGAAGAGTCAGGGCTCTTGAAACTTTCCATTTCCTTCACCCACAGGACAGCTCACCCTGGTCCAGGTTAAACAGGGGAAGTCCCTGGGATTTTGAGGGTATGGCAGCTCCTCTGACAATGTACCAAATCTTCCCCCATTGGAACGGTAGCGGTAACTTCTGTTGCTCAAAGAATTATTACTAGTCACTATTTTATTAGTAACTGTTGGATATTAACCTCAATGCTGTATTTTAATGTCTTTATCTTTCTGATGACTACACCAATCTAGAGAATGTGAAAATTTCCCTCTAATACCATCCTTCAGAGATAAGCATGAACAGTTTGGCAGGTTTCCTTTAAGACTTTGAAATTTTTATATAGGTTTTGATCATTTGTAAATCATAGGGGAGATTGTTTTGGAACCTGTTTTTGTTTTACTTAATATATCATAGACATCTTTACAAGCTTACAACTAACGGTTTACCTTGACTTTTTAAAAAGAGGTACATAGTTTTCTTTTATATAAATATACTGAAATTAATTTTACCATTCTCATTTGTGATGGACATTTTGTCTCAACATCATCCCTGTTATAAACAGTCTTGCAATAAAAGCTTCTGTGTATGCATCATTGTGTACTGTTCATTTTTCCTTAGAATACAAAAATCAAGAGTGTTTGCTCAATGGATATACATAACACCATTTAGCAAGGCTGTGCTAATATAGTCAATTCTTGAACAACACTGGTTTGAACTGTGGGAGTCCACTTCTACATGAATTTTTTTTTCAATAAACACAGTACAGTACTATAATCATTTTCTCTTCTTTATGATTTTCTTAATAACATTTTATTTTCTCTGGCTTACTTTATTGTAAAAATACAGTATATAATACGTATAACGTATAAAATGCATGTTAATAGACTGTTGATGTTATTGGTAAGGCTTTTGGTCAACAGGAGGCTATTAGTTACTTTTTGAGGGAGTCAAAAGTTATATACGGATTTTTGACCATGTGGTCATCAGCGCCTTTAACCCCTGCATTGTTCAAGGGTCAACCATAACTTAGACCAGTATTTCTCAGCCTTGCTGCTATTGACCTTTTGGGTTGGATAATCCTTTGTTCTAGGAGTCTGCCACGTGTATTCATATGTTTAGCAGCATTCCTGGCCTGTACCCCTTAGATGCTAGAGCCCCCACCTCCAAGTATGTATGTTTAGATATATAACGTAAAATTTACCATGTTAACCATTTTTTTAAATTTTTTAAAGTGTATTTATTTTGAGAGAGAGAGAGAGAGAGAGAGAGAGAGAGAGCGCACGCGCAAGCACAAGGGGTTACGGGCAGACAGAGAAGGAGAGAGAATTCCGAAGCCCGACTCAAGCCTCCAACTCACAAACCGTGAGATCATGACCTGAGCCAAGATCAAGAGTCAGACTCTCAACCAACTGAGCCACTCAGGGGTCCTCGTGTTAACCATTTTTTAAATAATTTTAATAGTTTACTTATTTTTTAGAGAGAGAGCAGGGGAGGGGCAGAGAGAGAGAGACAGAGAGAGACAATCCCAAGCAGGCTCCAAACTGCCAGCACAGAGCCCAATGTGGGGTTCAAACTCAAAAACCATGAGATCAAGACCTGAGCTGAAATCAAGAGATGCTCAACTGACTCAGCCACCCAGGCACTCCTCATGTCAACCATTTTTAAGTGCACAGTAGCCTTAAGTACATTCAC